TGGATCATCATAAAACCGGTTCTTTCTCTCTTTCTCTTCTCGCGGATATTCTTGCAGGATTGTTTCAAAGCCTTATAGCTCCTGCACACAAAACGTGGCAACGCTTGCCGCGCAGCGGAAATTAGCGCAAGAGCCAATTAATCTATTGCTTTTTCATAAAAGTAAAAGAATGATTGGCTGCTGCTCTAATTTCCGTTGCGTGGCAAGCGTTATCGCATCCTGTTTATGGGATTAAAGCCATTATAATTTAAATTAAAATGAACAAATTTTTTCCTATATATTTTTTTCTATGTATAATTTCAGAAATATTTCGTATTGTTCAATTTGTGGAATAACAGTCTTTTTCTAATTTATTTTATATGCATTTATTTCAGATTATCTGCTATTTTTTAAATAGAATAATAATAAGTAGAAACAAAGAAATCCTCACAATTTCTTCTAGCAAGAGAATTATTGATGAGTTTTTCATTCTTAATTTATTTAATTAAATAAATTAAATTCTTCATCAACTTCACTAATTAGAATAAAAAAAATTACTTATAAGTAAATAATAAATATAATAAAAAAATATTATATACATGCAAAAAATACTATTTATGAAACAAAATAGATTAAAATAAAAGTATAGCATAAAATTACGCCCGCGGATTATTTTGTCTGATTAATGACAAGTCATAAGTCCAAAATCGATTTACCAAAGAACTAGAGATATTTTTAAATATTAAAAATGAACAAAGAAATATTTCTTAAAATTATTCAAATTTTTTTTTAATATACGACTCTAGAAAATAACCCAGACACAGCACACAATATTTATAAAATATTTGCAAAATATTTATAAATATTTATAAGGCTTATTTTAAATGTTTCATAAATATTTTTGTGGTTTTAAATTGCACAGATCATACATATATAAAATATTTATTGTAAACTTTGTAGTAAATTCTAGGGAAATAATTAATAAGACATTATAATTCAAATAAAAAATACTTAACAGAAATATTTATTTATATTTATCATAAATATTAAATATTTAATCTATCTTTTAATATTATTTTGAATAAAACTTTATATAAAATATGTATAAAATATTTGTATAACATCTCAAAAAATGAACATTTATCATGATGAATATTTATCATAACATATGCTGTCTGAAAATGTAGCCATTGGAATGACTGAATCTAACTTTGCCATTTGAATGACTGAAACTAACAGAGATTGTTGCCGAAAGCAAATTCATTACGTCAAGTGAAAGGATCTTGTAAATCATTGATTATGCTTCAATAAGATAGAAGAATTACGTTTTTATTAAACTCGTGTATATACTCAGTGCCCAAATAACATAAATACCTTTCCATTTCACTTATTAATGTGTGTAATGTGTATTATGTATGTGTGTAATGTGTATTATGTATGATCTTATTTTTATTTCTCTACTAAAAATATATTTTCTAAAATAATTTATGGATATAAATTTTTTAAACATATTTTTTGCTAGATTTAATAAATGCCTAAGATAGATATTATATTTTATTAATCATATTTGTAATAAGTTAATTTTATGTATACTGTTGCTCCGTCTTTTTTTAATTTAATTACGTACGTGTTTAATTATTCCGTACAAAAAATTACTCGGCATAACGCAATTGTCGAACTCCTTCCACCTTGTCTCTACCATTTAAGATCTTTTATTCGACTGATTGAAAGATCAATGTAGACTTTAAAGATGTGTCAAGCATATTAAATTCCAAGGCCTAAAGCGCCAAATAGTTACTAAAGTTCTTGAGAATGTTATTTTTAGACGGAGAATTATTTTTATCAAAAATAAGATAAGTGTTACACTGATCAATTTAATGCATAATAAATTTAATGCGTAATAAATCAATTTAATATTTAATAAATAATTATGGAATTAATATTTGCAAAGTTAAATTATTCTTTTATGAATCAGCATGGTTGCTATGTTTTCTTGCGATTATTAATTTTGCAAAAAATAATTCTATTATTATGATATAATCTTAATTTCATAGTCATAATTGTATTGAACATAGTACAATTCTGAATAAAATAAAATTTAAATTCAATTTTCGAGATTTAAGTTTGGTTTTCCTTATTTTATTATTCCCAATTGTCCTCCTCTACACAATGAAATCAAGATTATCAAATTTAAATTTTCGAATTCAAATTCAAATTTTAATTTTATACTCAAAATTATATATTTAAAAAAGAATTGTACTATTTTATCTTAATAAAAATATTTCAAATATAACAAAAATTGAAAGTAACAATTATTAATAATTCAATATGTATAGAAAAAAAAGATTTTAATTAATTATTCTTTATTATAATTAAGTCTATATAATTTCTTTATTATAGTTAAGTCTATACAGTTATCGTAAACAATTGTTGATATTTCGTCTGTATTTTCTCAGACATCTGCAAGATCATCAATACATTAATTAAAAATTAAAA